TATATATATATATATGTGAAAGAGATTTTTCATTATAAGTCTTAAACTCTACATCATATGTTAACTGATTAAAAAGTTGAAGACACATAGTATGGATTAAGGTCTAGGAATGGAAAAAGAGGAATTTAGGGGCTTGTGTCTATGCATATAACAAACAGTGAGTGCTATCCTTTAATCATGTTAAGAACTCCGTTTTAAAAATAAGCACGTTGTCTTTTTTTGCATTTGCACAGATAACTAGAGATCAGCTTTGAGTGCAGATACGTACCTGTGTGTGTTTATAAAATCACAAGTCTCAGAATATACAGTGAATATTTATATTTAATTGTTTCCCCTTGGTTTTATTTAGTTGTTAACTAACCTTAGTTTCTTTCAGCTGAAGGACAGAACATTACAAAATTCCATGAAATCAGCTTTAGTGGGGAGGAATCCTATTTCTAGAAATTTGTGACAGCAGAAACAAAGAATAGTCTGTGGCCCTTCACAGTCAATGTGAAACATTCAATTCTGACAAATTCCCTCTATTCCAGAGCAAAACAAGAATTTAAGCCTCTGGTGCATCTAGATGTCGTTCCAGTGGGAACAACTTCTACTGCTGATAAGATTTATGTGCATAAACATAAATCTCATAAATGTATGATCATAAATTATATATTACTGACAGACTAATTGACCTGAAGCCCTCTTCTGATTATAGCACCTTCATGCTCATAAACCTTAAGTAATTCTCCTTCATGTAGATAATAAAGCCCGGGCCTCTCAGCCAGTCATGCTCTTACCTGAGTATATTCTTTCCCAGTGTATTTTTCCTTTAGACACTTGTATGGAAGTTTTGCACCAAATTGGACTTTACAAAGTTTTCTTGTCAAAAGTTAATGTCTACATCTCTCTCTCTCCGTTTTTCACATGCTATCTCCTTCACATAAAATTCTTCCCCCACTACTCTCTTCTAATCACAATGCAATTTATCAAATCTGAGAAAATGGCACTGTTACAGTGTTACAGTGAGTGTTTGGGGGCTGTGCTCCTCAAAATTCTATATTGAAGCCTGAACCCCCCATTCAGTACCATAGAATGTGACTGTATTAGGAGACAGGGTCTTTAAAGAGGTAATTAAGGCTAAATGGGATCATTAGGGTGGGCTCTAATCCCATATGGCTGGTGTCCTTCCAAAAGAGGAGATCTGGTCACAGGCACAGAGCGGAGACCATGTGAAGACACAGAGAAGACAGCCATCTAGAAGCCAAGCAGAGGCCTCAGAAGAAACCAACCCTGCTGATCTTTAACCTCAATCCTGGGCTTTCAGCTTCCAAACCTGTGAGAAAACAAATTTCTGTTGTTTAAGCCACCCAATCTGTGGTGCCTTGTTATGGCAGTCCTAACACAGGGACGTCTATCTGCTCCGTTTGGGAAGTCATTTCCCAGGACTCCGCTTCTGCCACTCCCCAGTGTGTTTCAGCTTGTTCTTTTTTTCATATTTTGTAGTTTTTAATTTTTCTTTTACATTTTTCTCTGCATCTATTTTTGGTAACACTGTTGAAAGCAACTCTCCACTCATTCCTTGGCTATTGTCCTTCTGGCACTCCTTACCTTTGCTGTTTCTTCTCAAATTTCCTGTCCCTGAGTATTCAGATGGCCCTCACTCACTTCCTTCGGATGATTGCTCAACTGTGACTCCCTCAGAAGCTTTCACCAATAACCTTATTGAAAATAGCCTTATCGGAAATACTACACCCATTCTTCATAGTACTTGCAACAGCTAATCATTGTATCATTTACTTATTTATTTTTATGTACCATGAAGAGGTAATGCGAAACAGGGACTTTGTATTTTTCCACCACTATTTTCTCACGCTCTTTCTTTCAATGCAGTGGCCATTATATACTTATTTGTGTATTAGATAAATGAGAAACTTCCTAACTTGTCTACAAGCTCCTTTACTTGACTAAATTCAATAAAATCTCAGATGCTATTATACACTGCAGTCATGTTATCCTTTTGAAAACAATAATGTTCTTTTGTGTGTGTTTCAAGCTTTTATTTATGAAAACAATAACCCTATTGATAATTACTCAGAGCTTCCAAATTCTTTGATTGGTCCCATTGAACTTAAAATAAAACATACATAAGCTGTCTCTCCATAAATTTGCTTCTCTGTCTTGTCATCCTTTCTCCTAATTAATACTCTCCACAGCACTGGTCTCTTTCAGGTTTAGACTTTTCCAGTATGCTTTCCTTACTTCGATTTTCCACACAACTCTTTGCCTGGAAACCTCTAACTGTTCTTTTGAAAAACATCTGTTTCACAATCTTTCTATCACAGAACATCACTGACTCTAATCTATTTACTGCTACAACTTCCTTTAAAATATTAAATTTTATAGAAGCAGCGTCTCAGTAAGTTGATTTATTACACTGTAGCAGAAGCAGCTTTTCTAAAACACAAAAATAATATCACTGTTCTACTGAAAGCACTTATTATTGACATTAGGATATTTTTTTTAAATTTCATCATTTAGTTTATAATGTCTTTAAAAGCCACTTGCTGTTAAAATCTTCGGTATCATGATTGTCTATTCTCAGATCTAGAGTATAGGTGAAGTGTAGCCACATTAATGCTGTTTTCAATTAATGATCAGTTAACCAGACCAAGAATAGGGAATACATGGAATATTTTACAAAATAAATAAAAATAAAATGAATGATTTGATTGATATGTATATGAAACCTGCACATACCATCTAGAGAATACAGATTTTTTTAAGCTGGCATGAAGCACTGAATCCCAATTGATCAAGAATTAAATTATTAGACATGTTTGAATAAATTTTAATAAATCTGTATCAATTATCTGACCATCCTATAATTAAGACAGAAGTTAATACAAAAAAAGAAAACTCCCAAATACTCATATTCTTGAAAATTTAAAAGCAATTTGAAAATAATTCCTATGTAACTGATGGTTCAAATAAGATACAAATATAGAGACCTAAAAATAATTGAAAAATCAGTGAAAAGAAATTGAAACATGGTACAGAGAAAGTGATTCTACTTAGAGAAGGTAATTTTTTTTATGTTTATTTATTTATTTTGAATGAGAGAGAGTGTGTGCAGGGGAGGGGCAGAGAGAGGGAGAGCGAGAATCCCAAGCAGGCTCCACACTCAGGGCAGAGTCAGACATGGTTCAGTCTTATGAATCATGAGATCTTGACCTGAGCCGAAATCAAATGGTGGACACTTAACTGACTGAGCCACCCAGGTGCCCCTAGAGAAGGTAATTTATAACTCTGTGTGTTTTAATACAAAGACAATATGAAATTAATGAGCTAAGCATTAAACATAAGAACTTAGAAAAGACATAATAGCCATCAAAGAAAAATAAGGTAATAATTAAGATAAAAACAGGAAGTGATATCATTGAAAACTAGTGTAGAAAAAAGAGAATAAAAGTGCCCAAAGTTAGTTGTTTTAAAAGATCCACAAAATAAATGTATAAGGCAAAATGGTTCATGAAAAGAGGAGATAGGGCAAAAAGTATTAAGAATGATTTTAAAGAAATGCAACTACAGATAATGTAGTGATTTAGAAATTTAGAGAATATTATGAACACTTACATGTCAATAAAATTAAATATTTAGGTAAATTCCTAAAGATAATTAAAAATGTACAAAAGCTACTAAAGAGAGAATAAAATATGATTTAAAATATGATTTAATATATGACATAATATTTAAAATGATCTATCCTCCTAAATACTAACAGCTCAAATATTTTTTTATTCTTTTTAAAAATATTTTTCTAATTTTTTTTAATTTATTTTGAAAGAGGGGGGTGAGAGGGACAGAGAGAGGGAGAGAGAGAATCCCACACAGGCTCTACACTGTCAGCATAGAACCTGACGTGGGGCTTGATCTCACAAATCATGATATCATGACCTAAGCCGAAATCAAGAGTCAGATGCTCAACTGACTGAGCCACCCAGGTGCCCCAACAGGTCAAATATTTTTAAGGAATATTCACAAAACAGAAAATTCTTTATTTTCTGTTCTTATGTAAAGTCTTTTGGAGAAAAGAAAAATGAGGATTCTCCCCGAACTCATTATAAGAACAATATAACCCCGATACTAACACCAGATAAGAGTCCAATGGTTACACAGTGTGGGTTAAAAGTCAAGATCCACCACACCTAATCGTATAATGTTTAGCAAGTTCATTTTTAATGTTTAATTCACCATCATTTACATTAAGTTTAGTTTTTGAGAAATGTTATTTTAATCACTTTACTATTAACTAACTCCAGACTTTGGATTTCACCAGCTTTTCTATTAAAGTCTTTGCAGAGATCCTACTTTGCATTTAGTGGTCATGTTTTCTTACTCCCTCCAATCCGTGAGTGTCAGTCTTTCCTTGTCTTTGTGACCTTGACACTTTAAAAAACTACTGGTTAGGGGCGCCTGGGTGGCGCAGTCGGTTAAGCGTCCGACTTCAGCCAGGTCACGATCTCACGGTCCGTGAGTTCGAGCCCCGTGTCAGGCTCTGGGCTGATGGCTCGGAGCCTGGAGCCTGTTTCCGATTCTGTGTCTCCCTCTCTCTCTGCCCCTCCCCCGTTCATGCTCTGTCTCTCTCTGTCCCAAAAATAAATAAACGTTGAAAAAAAAATTAAAAAAAAATTAAAAATAAAAAACTACTGGTTACTCTGTAAAATGTCTTCCAATCTCGGTCTGTCTTATATTTTTTCGTGATTTCATTGAGGTTTTGCATATTTGTTAACAGAACACAGAAGTGATCTGTTCTCAGCATAGCATATAAAAGGAGGCATGTGATGTCAATATGTCCTGATCCCTTGGTTAAGAAGGTATTTCTAACAGTCTCCTCCATTACTAGTCAGTAATTTTTAAAACAATTAATGCATGTTTTGGGAGATACACTTAAAGATTATGCAAATATTCTGTTTCTCCTCAAAAATCTGCCCACTAATTTTAACATTGATGAGTGATCTTACCTGTAATACTTACTATTGTGATTTTCTTATTTATTTATTTGTTTGTTTGCTTTTGAGAGAGAGAGAGAGAGCAGAGGAGGGGCAGAGGGAGAGGGAGAGAGAATCTTAAGCAGGCTCCATGCCCAGTGCAGAGCCCAAGATGGGACTCTATCTCACAACCATGAAATCATGACCTGAGCTAAAATCAAGAGTCAGACCCTTAACTGACGGAGCCACCCAAGCGCCCCAATACTGTGATTTTCTAGTGGTGATTTTCGATTTTCTTCATTATTTCCATATTTATTATTTGGAATTCTTCTGAAAGGAAAAGCTGCTCTTTCTCCCCATGTATTTCTGTTATTGTCTATTTTTATCAGCATAGACTGCAGGACACGTATTTTATAGTATGCATTATAATCCAATAATATCCTAGGTATTCTTTTGCACCAATTCTTACCGGTTTCGTCAGTGGGTGCTCCTTTCGGTTGTTCATGATGACTTTCAACATGCCTCTGCCACCTTTTAAAAATGTTTTACTTATTTAAGTAATCTCTACACCCAACATGAGCCTTGTACTCACGACCCCAAGATCAAGCATTGCATGCTCTATTGACTGAGTCAGCCAGGTGCCTGCACTGTTTTTTTTTTTTTTTTTTT